CCCCAAAACCCCAAAACCCCAAAACCCCAAAACCCCTTAATGCAGAATCTACTGTATATAGTAATCAATGAAAAAGTTGCTATTTAAATATGAAATTAAGAGGAATATCAATTTTAATTTATTTTCCTCTCATTTTCTCTTTCACTCCATCTTATCATAATTTTTTGATTTTGCCGTTATTTTAATTTTATAACAATTCTTTCATCTTTTGCTGATCGTATTTACTAGAGATTAAAATTATGAGCCTTGATCAAGCAAATCCTATTTTTTAATCTAGAGTTATTAAGATATTAATTCATGGTTCTCTCCTGTGAAATTTCCTCGTTGGCCTTATCTTAGAATATTTGCAAAATGGTCGTAGTTTTTTAGCTTATCCATAGCTTCATAATAAGCATCTCTGTACTTTTTCATCGTATTACTTCTCTCAATACGCCTTTACCCGGCCTAGTTGAAATAGTACCAACATATTTTGACGAGTGACGGATCATTTATAAATCTATTAAGTCTGTTAAGACTGAATCTATATAAATAATGATAGATGCCAATAACTTTTCTTGCTTTTAGAGGTTTATCTTTGAAGTCTGTTTTAATATCTTTTAGATCATCATCTTGAAAATCAGGAATATAGCATTTAATCATCTCCTTCGGATAAAGGAGTGAGCCTAAGCAAAATATCAATTTTTCCTCCGAAGTCCCGATTAATTTCCCAGGAAATGGTTCACAATTTATTATATTTTTCTGTGCTACGTACATCTTTAGACATTCCATCAGAAAGCTATTGTCGCATCTTCTTTTCTTTTTAAAATATTCAGTACATTCATTGAAATCCTCAAGGTAAAATTTTCTGAGATCTCTAAGTAGGTTTTTGTAGATCACTTCATATCTTAAATTTTTATTCGACAAAGAGTGAAGCTTGAATTTTAGTGGACGTAAAAAGTCATCTCCATCAGAAATGACGCTATTTTGATCATTCTTTTAAAAATCACTTTCACTTATGCAATTTTAAGATAGATCATTAATATTCTATGTAACAAGAATGGCTGGCCTTGATTAGAGACTTTACAATCCGAAATTTTGGCTTATCGAAGACGAGGCAAGTACGTTATAAGGAAGACCCAAGCTGCAGGATAATAAATCTGTATTTTATTATTTAATTTCATATCTCGGCACCAAATCCTAATTTCTTTGAATAATCATCGGGCAATAAATATTGGTTTGCTGCATTTGTTAGTTCTGCAATGGAATCTATTGAAACTATTAGGCTTATGTTTGCTGGTATGCACCTATTTTAAGATATGGACTCGGCTGTGAGATTATAATTGGAGCACTTATCTACTACGTCGCTTAAGCTGGTAATATGCTTTTGTTATTAAAATTGAAGTTTTAGTAAAATATAGGTTGGACTTGAACAGATTAATGGCCTGAGCTAAGACTTAAAGTATTAACTTGGCTGTTAGTGTTCAAATGAATCTGCTAATATGGCTGATTTTAGAAATTGAGTGTGGACAAGTTGGGATATTGAAAGTTCATTCTTTAATTATTAATCTGAACTGCAAAGTAATTAAGTCAATAAATTAAGAGTCAGAACAAGTTTAATGAATCAATTTATACCTTGATAATTGTTTATTTAATTAAAAATTTCCTATAATTAACTAGTTTTGCAATTCATTGTCAGAAGGGGTTTTGGGGTTTTGGGGTTTTGGGG